ATTTGATGATTTATGACTTGCATGTGTGGTCCGTGTCGGTTTTTGAAAAGTCTAAGTGCAAATTTTTTAAGAAAATATGATTTTTAACTTTAAAAGTGGCTAGAGTTGACCACAGTCAACATTCTTGGTAGACAATCTTGGATTAGTGTTTTGACGGTTCCGGTAGGTTCGTATGATAATTTTGGACTTGTACGTATGTTTAGTTGGGTCCTAGGTAATCCAAGGCCGTTTCGACGCTTTATGTTGAATGTTGGAAATTTGAGTATTAACTTTGAAAATCATGTGTTTTGGTGAGTGATTCTTGATTTTAGATGTTATTTTGATGATTTGAGGTTGCGAGCGAGTTTGTATGATGTTAATATACTTGTGTGAATTGGAGTCGGAGACACTCGGATGGGTTTCACATGGGTTGCAGACTGTTTTTGCATAGCTGAAGGTTCTGGTGTTGCTGAGCTGTAGATCTCGCATTTGTGAGGTTTCGTCCCCAAATGCGAGCCTAGCATTTACGAGAACTTGCTGGCATTTGCGATACTAGGAAGGGGGATTGCAGCTTTGTATTTGCGAAGCTTAGTTCATATTTCTGAGGTGTAAAACCTTCACATTTGCATAGTTCCATCCGTAATTGCGACTCTGATGCAATAAGGGGCAGCTTCGCATTTCTGAAGCTTACTTTGCATTTGGGGACTGTCCTGGTTCATATTTGCGATCAGTGCATCACATTTGCAGTATTGAAAGCTCAGGGGCTGATACGCAATTGCGACCAGCTGTTTGCATTCGTCAATGTCGCGATTGTGAACACTGTTCCCAATTGCGATATTTGCAACTAGGTAAAATGTTGGGATTTCAGGACGTAGCTGATTTTACACAATTATTTAGATCTGGACTCCATATAGGAGATTTTTCAAGAGCAATTTCTTTCCAACTTTATAGGTTAGTAATCTTAACTTGTTTTTGTTCAGTTTTCATTACCTTTCCATGAATTTTACCATAAAATCTAAGATTCATAGAGAAGAAACTGGGGGGTTTTGGGTAGAAAATAGAATTTTTTTTTAAAATTCAGATTTAGACCTCAAATTGAGGTCGGATGTAGAAACAAATCACATGTTTGGACTCAGGGATAAACGAGTAATCCAGATTTGGTCATAATTTTTTATTTGGACAACGTGGGCCCAGGTTGAGTTTTTTGTTGACTTTTTCAATTATGTTGGAGATCGAACATTTTTCGTACAAGGATAGTTTCTAAAGCTTATTTCGACTTGTTTGAACAATATTTGACTAGATTCGGGTGGCTTAGAGGCTCATTCTAAAGGAAAGTCGTGCTGGATTGTTGATATTGTTCCACAAAGAGGTAAGTGTCTTGGTTAACCTTGATTAAGGGAATTAGGGTGTAATTGAATCTATTAGCTACGTGATCTGTGTGATGGAGGCGTCGTATATGCAAGGTGACGAGTGTACATGTGTTTGCCATAGGGTGAACATGTGAGTAGAATTAGCCTTATTTGTACCATGTTACTTTGTGTATTATGTCTTTCATGCTATAGATAAATTGTAAAACTCTTTGATTTCTCGTATTCATGTTATTTCCTATGAATGAGCTTATTGTGATATTGCGCGTTAAGATCGTTGATTTGTTGATTTGGTTGTTGGTGCTAAATTGTTGGTAAATTTTCATATGATGAGTTATGTTCAAATACTACTATTGATGCTAAATATGTTTCCCAGCTTGCTTGGTACCGCGTAATATGCGAAACTTGGTGAGGAAGAGTGAAATTCACGAAGGATTTGCCGTGCTTGTGATTGTGCACAAAGAGAGTTTCCATGCTTTATTCATATGTTAATATAATTGCACGAAGGGTGTTTCCGTGCTTGAGAGAACGTGAGGACATGCACCAATTCTATTTTCGTGCTTGCTATTATATTATGTTGTGAGGAGGGGCGTAAAAGCACGAAGAGTCATGTCGTGTCATTTGTTTGTTTCATTGTTCCTTACTTTGTTATTCATATTGTTGAATTGACTTTGTGGTTATGTAATTTACTTTTTGAAAGGTTGTTCAGAGCTATTGTAAAAGTATGAGTTATGGTTTACTCAGTGACACCTTCCTTTAGTTTCTCGTTTTATGTTTCTCTACTTATGTGCTTATTGTCCTTCTCAGCCGTTATTGTCATGCCTTATACTCAGTACATTACTTGTCTTGATATTATAACTGCTCGGGTTTATTTGTATGTGTCTTATCTTAACCTTTTCACTACCTCATTAGAGTTAGACTTGACAGTTATGGAGTACAATGACATACTATACTTCTGAACCTCTTGTGCACATTTGGACATTGGTACCAATGGAGTCCAGAGAGGTGCTTACCAGATACTACGTAGACGACTCGAGGTAGATCTACATACCATTTATAGGCCTTAGAGTCATCTTTCCATTTTTTGTTGTACTACTTCTACTTTTCAAACAGTATTGTATTTCTTTCGAGATAGTGTATGCAGTAAACTCTAGAAGCTCATGTATTTGTGACTCCACGTCTTGGAATGGTTGAACATTAGTGTTGATCGTAGACTTATCATGTATACTTCTGAGTTGCTTTTACATCATATTATTAACTTGTTGTTAGTCATAAATTACAGTTTTTTTCGTATTTGTTGTTGTGTGTTGACTTTCCTAGCTAGGGGTATGAGGCGCCATCACGATCCCGGTTGATTGGAATTTTGGGTCATGAAAATGTGCTAGTTGCTACATGCTTTAGGTGCTTCCTATATGCGAGGTGACTGATAAGTGGGGATTTTGGCGCTGCGACAAAAGGGGACATTAGCGGATATTCAAGGGATAAGCCCCGCATTTTGCATGCACAATATTAACTTAGAGGAAGGTGCCAAACCATCTATTAAACATCACAGGAGACTCAATGAAGCAATACAAGAGGTTGTCAAAAAGGAGATCATCAAGTAGTTGGACGTCGGGGTTGTCTACCCAATTTCCTATAGTTCGTGGACTTCTCCAGTTCAATGTGTCCTCAAGAAAGTGGGTATGATGGTCACCAATGACAAGAATGAGTTGATTCCTTCAAGAACGATGACTGGGTGGAGAGTGTGTATGGACTATCGTAAGCTCAACAATGTCACAAGGAATGGCCATTTTGTACTTCCCTTTGTAGATCAAATGCATGATAGAATATCCGGCCATGTTTTTTATTGTTTCCTTGATGGGTATTCTGGCTATAACCAAATTCTTATTGCTCCATAGGATAAAAAAAACTGCCTTTACATGTCCTTATGGTACTTTCGCCTTCAAGCAGATGCCATTTGGGTTAAGCAATGCACCGACGACTTTTCAACGGTGTATGATGGCTATCTTCACGGACATGGTGGAGGTTTACCTTGAAGTCTTCATCGATGTCTTCTCGGTGGTCAAGAATTCTTTTGATGATTGTCTCGCAAACTTGGATAAAGTGTTGGCAAGATGTGAGGAAACAAATTTGGTGCTCAATTGGGCGAAATGTCATTTCATGGTCGAGGAAGGAATTGTCCTTGGCCACAAGATCTCAAAGAATGGCATTGAAGTCGTCAAGGCAAAGATTGAGGTGATTTCTAAACTTCCACCACCAACTTCGGTGAAGGGCGTGCGGAGTTTCTTTGGCCACGCGGGGTTTTACCGGCGTTTCATCAAGAATTTCTCTAAAGTGGTGAACCCGTTGTGCAAGCTTTTGGAGAAAGTTGCTAAGTTCTACTTCAATGATGATTTCATGAGTGCCTTTGAATGGTTAAAGTTCAAGTTGACTACAACTCTCATCATCACCGCTCCAAATTGGAGTGTTCCTTTTGAGCTCATGTGCGATACAAGTGATGTAGCGGTGGGGGCTGTTTTGGGCAATGCATCAACAAGATTTTTCATGCTGTATACTATGCTAGTAAGACCATGAATAATGCCCAAGTCAACTATATCGTTACCGTGAAAGAGCTCCTTGCCATTGTGTTTGCTATTGAAAAGTTCCGCCCATACTTGATGGGTGCATTATAAAGATCGGTTGATGAGATGGGTGCTTTTGTTGCAAGAGTTTGATATAGACATCCAAGATCGAAAAAGAAGCAAAAACCAAGTGGCGGACCACTTGTCTCGTTTGGAAGGGGAGGCATGATGGCCTTAAAATCAATGACTCCTTCCCTGATGAGCAACTTTTGTCTATTTCAATGAAAGAGGTACCATGGTTCGCGGATCTAGGATATTTTCTTGCGAGTGGTATCATCCCGGATGATTCTCTTCAAACCAAAGGAAGAATCTCAAACGGGATTGTCAAGACTATTATTGGGATAAAGCATACCTTTTCCGGATTTGTACGGATGGGGTGATTAGAAGTTGTATACCAGAGGAGGAGCCAAGTGAAATCCATGGGGCTTGTCATTCTTCGCCAGATTTTGGTCAGCATTGTGGAGCGAGAACGGCGACCAAAGTGCTAAGTTGCGGTTTCTATTTGCCCACTCTTTACAAGGATGCAACTGATCTAGTGAAACGATGTGATGAGTGTCAAAGGGCCAGTGGAATCTCAAAGAAAAATGAAATGTCCCTCACCACCATTTTAGAGATTGATATTTTCGATGTGTGGGGTATTGACTTCATGGGTCCTTTTGTGATCTCTTCTGGAAACACCTACATCTTGATCGCGATTGATTATGTGTCCAAATGGGTTAAGGCCCTTGCTCTACCCAACAATGAAGCGAGAAGTGTGGTGGCGTTCTTGAAGAAGAATATTTCACAAGGTTTGGTACTCCGCGAGCTATCATAAGTGATGGGGGGTCACATTTTTGCAACAAAGCCTTCAACATCTTACTCACCAAGTATGGTCTCACTCATAAAGTTATGACTCCCTATCATCCACAAGCAAGCGGTCAAGTGGAAGTCTCCAATCGGGAGATGAAGAGTGAATGCTAACCGGAAGGATTGGTCCAAGAAACTTGATGATGCTTTATGGGCTTATCGGACGGCTTACAAAACACATATTGGAATGTCTCCATACTGGTTGGTCTTCAGAAAAGCTTGTCATCTTACGGTGGAACTTGAACACAACGCCATGCGGGCTCTAAGGAAATTGAATCTTGATTGGGAGGTCGTCGCCAACTTGAGGGTTGCACATATTAATGAGTTGGATGAGTTCCGATACCATGCATACACAAGTGCTTCCTTATACAAAGAGAAGATGAAATATCTTCATGACAAGTAAATATGGAACAAAGAGTTCAAAGAGGGTGATCTTGTGTTATTGTTCAATTCACGATTGAGGATGTTTCTCGCGAAGTTAAAGTCTAAATGGAGTGGCCCGTTTGAAGTTGTGGGTGTGACACCCTTTGGTGCATTGTTGAAGAATAAAAGTGATGAGGTATTCCGAATCAATGGTCACCGGGTGAAGCATTATTTGGCAAAAGCTAGTGATGGCCACGTTGTAGCGATGATTCATTTCAAGTGATGGTAATCTGCATCGTGCTACGACATTAAATCAGGCGCTTCTTTGGAGGCAACCCATGTTTCTTTTCTTCTTTTGTAGATAAGTGTTATTTTTGTTCTAACTGGATTTGAAGTGTGTTGCAGGGATGAGTGTGCTTTACAAGAAGTGTGCTCAGAAAATTGGCTAAGTGTGGAAAGAAGTGCAGACCACATGTATATTATGCGGATGACACAATTGTGATTGCTACAGCAAAAGGGAACTACGGCCGCACAATTACAGTGCGGACTGCACAAATTGAAAAGGGAGAATGCAAACTCTTTGAAGTTTGGTTTGTTAGAGAAATGGCAAAAGTGCAGGCGCACACCTAAATTTGCGGTTCGCGACAAAAATATACGACCGCACAACAAATTCTGCGGACCGCATATTAGCAAGGGCTTCTGAGCCCCAAGTAATAGAATGCGGACCGCAGATGGAATTCTGCGGCCGATGCAACCCTTTGTCACTTAGTCAAACCGTCCAAGTATAAATAGTAGTCTTAGGGATACTGTACATTTTTTTTCCTCTTTGAGCACTCGTTGATCTAAAATAATGAAATCATCTATAAATCATTTTCAACACACAATCAACCCCTATGATCACTCATTTGCATTACATCATAGCTGGTATGTTCCAATTACTTATATAATTTTTCAATTTTTAGTTTAATTTACAATTTGTTAGTTAGTTTAGGCCATTTGTTAGTAGAATTCAATTTTACAATCATACGGGGTTTAAAATTTATTGGGTCAACTGATAAATGCTCTATGGGGAATGAGTGAATTTATTTTCATGCCTAAATGTTAATGCCATGTGACATTTGTGCAAAAAATTGTAAAGCCTAGAAATTTGTTTGCATTTGTTTTGAAAGTTGCGGTGACACAAGAAATTGTGTGGTCCGCAGAAGTTGAGATTAGGGTCTTGAGTCAAGCATGACTCTACAGCCGCAGTTGAAATTATGCGGACGACAAAAATTCCATTGCGGCCGCAGAAAAGTGAGTGCGGCCGCAAAATAGCCCAATCTCTATCTTCAGAGAGTTGGAATTTGGTGAATTTGATGTGCGGTCATAATAGAAACTATGCAGACTGCACTCAAGTTCTATGGTCGAACTAATAATTGTGCGGACCGCAGATCCAGTTCTGTGGCCGCACTTATAATTGTGCGGACTGCACTCCCCCACCCTACAAGCATGTTTTACACTGTGTGTTTATTGTCTGTTTGCACTTGAATTACAACTCACTCTTGCTGATGCTTGTTACAGATAATGGTTAGATCTCGAGGCAGTGGAGATACTTCAATGAAGAGGGGTGAACTTTCCAGGGGCCGAGGCAAGAGTACTTTACCCCTCTCCCTCAAAAAGATAATCACCAAGAAGGCAACAAGCGGTCAAGGAAGAAATACAGAGCCCTCCGAATCCAGTTTGTATGCCCTATCTAGGGAAGCATCGGAGGATGATTCAGTTCAAGAGTAGCCGACTATCCAATCAAAGCCACCGGGGAGGTATCAACTCTATTCCTCATGACATAGTACCTCCGAAGATTGAGAGAGTACTTTTCTGGCTTCGGAGACCTCATCTCAACCTGTCCCTCAGGAACCAGTGACTATTGTTGATGATATTTCGTATGATGGCCGAGTGGGAGATACTACAGTTGTCGGCCTTGAATGGTCGAAGAAGAAAGAGGTCTGGGAGGACTGGCTCGTCAGTAGCTGCCTTCACTAGCTTCCGTGAGTGGTGGAGGGTGAGATCGCTCACTCTTGAGCGACAGTTCCAAGTGAAAGACCTTGAAATGTAAAATCCAGCAGTTTTGAGGCAGTTCTAAGAGCGCAAGGTGTGGATGTGGTTCACCTAGTGCTAGTGGACGTGAAGGAATACCTTGTCTATGAATTCTATTCCAATGTGGCGCACATCAAGAAAGGGACAAAGGTAACTAATGTGAGGAACAACAATGTGCGATTTGACCAGCATACCTTGATCACCTACTTGGGGTTTGAGGATGTTGAGCCTACACAGTACTTGGAAAAGCTTGAGATGGGAGATGCAGCTCGCCCATGGCTCGCTGAGATGCTTGAAGTATCAGGACCACCATAACCATGGATCACAACAGGGATTCCTATTTAGTGGAACACTCTGAACTTAGAGGCGAAGAGTGTATACGGCTAAAATCGGGAAGACCAATTTTGTAATCGACAAGGCATTACACAATCTTGCCTCGAAGGTCTTAGAGGATAGCCCGGGGTTCGATGCCTTCGGGGAGTCTCTGTGCCCGGTATCGGAGTAATGGACTGATGTTTATCAATGGTAAGCGGGAGGTTCCCTAGGAGCTATATTTTCTGACAAACACCTGCGCAAACAGTGTCAATCTACACCAGACTGAGTGAGTGGTTGTACAGCTACTCTATGTAGTAATTACACATGCATTTATATTTTATTAGGGTTTCCCCCTCATCTATGAAGGGGACCCTTGTTATTTGATAGAGGCATCTTATACTCAATATTCAATACAAGAACATTCTCTCTGCTCTCTAACTTGACATATTGTCTTGTTCTTATTGCTTCATCTATTACTTACATTTATTGTGTTCCATTTATTATTCTTCATTTATTTTTCATTATTGTCCATAGAGGGACGCCATTGATTTTACCATAGCTATTATTCATCCATGAAGTGCCCCCCGACAGAACTTCAGACTCGACCTCGAGACCCCGAATAGACAAGCTCGAGGCCCCGATTACTAGCACATTGGTTCGGTTATCACCTAGTTCTCAAGCGCTTATCTCATTTTCTTATCTCTTCCTTAGCATCTATTGCCTAAACAACTTGCATAAAAATAGATCACGTATGTTTAGAAATACAAGGTAAACAGTTTGGCGCCCACCGTGGGGCTAAAAATAATAGTGATTATTTTCCTGCTGGTTTGCTACATATCAAGTTATCTTTTACACTTTTTCTTGTCTAGGATCTTTTATTTCAGGTCAAAATATCTAACTCGCTAAACGCACGTGAAAGCATCATTCTTGAAGACCACGGAGAAAATGGTGTTGACGTCTTAGGTTTTGGTGTACCACAACGAAACCCTAAGAATGCACCAGAACCAATTCCCGTAGAACAGGTCTCGTGCAACGCTCAATGCGTTGGCATAAGTTCCCACACTAACAGGGGTGTATGACAGGAAAAGAACCCCACTCGGGAAGAAATTAAGGCAAGCAGGGAGAGTGAAGTGGAAGAACCTCAGCACATCGTCCATATGATTATAGGAAGAACCGACGCTCCCCAAGGACCCTTGGTCAAGAGGAAAAAGGTTTCCGCGGCAACACAAGGACAAAGTCGAGGTCGTGTACCTGGGAACATCCTCGCGTTTCAGCAAAGAAGACTTCAAGACTCTGTCTCATCCGCATAACGATGCGCCGATAATCTCGTTTCTCTTGAATAACATTCGAATCAAACGTGTACTCGTGGATCCAGGTAGCTCGGCCAATATAATCAGTTCGACGGTGCTAGAACAGCTCGAATTACTCGACCAGATTGTACCTGCCTCCCAATTCCTCAATGGCTTCAGTATGGCCGGCGAAGCAACAGAACGAGAGATCATCCTCCCGGTAAACATATCAGATGCAGTCTAAGATACCAGATTTAAAGGTGACACAAGGTGCAATGCCTTGCTCGTTAGGCCGTGGATACATAACATGAAGGCGGTACCATCGAACTTGCTTCAGATGATGAATTTTCTAGCAAAGGACGGAATAAGGACAGTGTATGGCATGCAACATGCGGCGAAGGAAATGTTCGCAGTCCGTGAAGAGGTACCGGATAGCATACACCCCACCACGGAAGAGTTGGAAAGCCAACAAACCCCCAAGGATGATGAAGAGGACTTCCTCACTCCCAGAACCTTCGTTGTCCCCGAAAAAGCGGACGCAACAAAGTCGATCGTCGAAGAATTGGAGCAAGTTGTATTGGTTGAGAATCTCCAATATCGGAAGGTATACTTAGGGACGGGACTAACCCCCGAACTCAGGGAAAATCTCATTTTATTCCTTATTAATAACATTGATTGCTTTGCTTGGTCCCATTTAGACATGACAGGGATCCCGCCGGAGATAACCATCCATCAACTAAGTGTCGATCCCAGGTACAAACCGGTGAAGCAAAAAAGAAGACCCCAGACTGAGATAAAGCATGCGTTCATCAAAGACGAGGTAACGAAGCTCCTTAAGATAGGGTCTATTAGGGAAGTAAAATACCCCGAATGGCTGGCCAATGTGGTGGTACTTCCCAAAAAGGGGAATAAACTAAGAATGTGCATAGATTATAAAGATCTAAATAGGGCGTGCCCAAAGGACTCATTCCCACTGCCCAACATCGACCGCTTGATCGATGCCACAGCCGGCCATGAAACCCTTACTTTTCTCGATGCCTATTCGGGGTATAACAAAATTCAGATGAACCCTGAGGAGAGAGAAAAAACTTCGTTCATCACGAAGTACGGTACGTGCTGCTACAATGTAATGCCCTTCGGGCTAAAAAATGCAGGGGCCACACACCAACGCCTAGTTAACAAGATGTTCAAACATCGAATAGGCAAATCCATGGAAGTTTATATTGACGACATGCTAGTTAAGTCCCTGTGCGTGACCATTTGAGTAATTTGCAGGAAACGTTCGACATCCTCAAAAGTTACAACATGAAGCTCAATCCCGAGAAGTGCGCCATCGGGGTAGGATCGGGCAAATTCTTAGGCTTCATTGTATCGAACAGAGGAATCGAGATCAACCCCGACAAAATCAAAGCCATTGAATAAATTATGGTGGTTAATAACGTAAAGGCCGGGAAACGGCTGACCAGGCGGATAGAAGCCTTGGGCCGGTTCATATCAAGGTCGTCAAACAAGAGTCACCATTTTTCTCCTTGCTCAAAAAGATAAACAACTTCGAATGGACTGCGGAATGCCAACGTACCTTGGAGGAGTTGAAGCGATACTTAACAAGCCCGTCTTTACTCCACACCCGAAAAGATGGTGAAACATTATATTTATACCTGGCTGTATCTGATATAGCGGTAAGTGGTGTACTGGTTTGAGAAGAACAAGGTACGCTATTCCCTGTCTATTATGTAAGTCGGATCCTGGGTGATGCCGAAACTAGATATCCACACCTGGAAAAGCTAGCTCTCGTGTTAATAAGTGCGTCTCGAAAATTGAAACCTTACTTTCACTGTCATCATATTTGCATTTAACAACATATTCCCTTCGAGACATGCTGCATAAACCCGAATTATCGGGTCGGCTGTTAAGCACCCGTGAAAGTTTTACTTAGAAACCCGAGATCTCGTAGTGCCAAGTTAGGAATATGTGTTAGAAAGTCATCACATAATTTCCTTGGTGTTTTTGCGAGGGGCAGTTCTGTGGTGCATTATGCGACCGCATAACAGGTATGCGGACCGCATTCTTGTCACATACCCGGGCAGTTTGTTCAGGTTTTGGGGACCATTTTTGCGGTCCCTTTAGTGGGCCGCATGTCCGTTATGCGTTCGCAGATTTTGTTGGGCCTCCTATGTTCTAACTTTTATAACCTGACCCCATTCCATTAAAAATACCCCCTTAGACCCCTTTTATGCGATTTTCCTAAAAATAGAGTGAGAGAGGAAGTTCTAGAGAGGGAGAGGGTGGTGTTCATCAAGTCCCCATTTGATCTTTGCCTAAGCCCTTAAACATTATCAAGTAAAATCTGCTAGGTCTTCATCCTAAGAGGTAAGAACTTGTGCCTTAATCTATAATTTCGAAATTCTACTAAAATATGTGATCACATGTGAGTTCGTGGGTATAGGAATTAACTATCTTGCATGCATGAGTGACAATGGAGTACGGGAAGATTGTGAGTTAAAAAGATGGCAATTGTGGTGGAAGGTGATAAAAATCTCTCACAAAGGGGTCCTAGAACCACATTGCACACCTAGTGCTTGACAATATGCTCAAATAAGCTAGAATCTTAATCATGCCTCTAGTTCTTGGCTTAATTTGAAGTTCTCATAAAATAGATCGAAGTTGCTAGGAAATTCCGAAATTTATTGTAAGGATTTAAGGGAAGCTCCATTAAGGTATGTATGGCTAACCCTCTTCTTCTTAGTGTTGAATTCGTAGTGTCCAAATAGTTGGCGTGAGTTTCGAATTGATCATACTTGATGAATTGCATTAATGTGTTGGGTGACCGACTTTCGTCCCAAAATTGTTCAATGTGTTTATTTTGAAATCATGATAGTTGAAAATGTGATCATGTTCTCCAAGTGTTCATTATTTTCTTATTTGTGCATGCCTTATATGATAGCCCCCTTATCGACACGGATGATGAAGTTATATGAACGAATTAATAAAAGGAACACTTGTGTTGTAACAATGTATCCAAGTGCCAAGAAATAAATTAACAGAAAGAGTGTTGTACCATGTAAAGGGAAAAATGGAAGGAAATGGGAACTA